AAACTCCGTCTCAAAAAAAAAAAAAAAAAAAAAAAATTTAATGCCAACAATATTAGGTTTACATGTATAGTATATTGAGTTCTATCAGCAACTTTTGTTAACCACTTTTATGTATAGGAAGAATCATAACATCAGGAAGACAAGCACGTTACTGGAGAGAGTTGACTAAACCAGCAGGATTCAGAATTAAGGATGTACATTATGTACATCAGGTCAGTTCTTGGCCTTGAGTTTATAATTTTAAAAAATTGTATAAGACAGTACCTACAAGCCACCCTCAGTGAGCAAAGAGCAGGATAAAAACAAGAATAATTACACCAATCATATTTATGTTATTAGCCAAGCAAGTAGTCGTTTAGGATGTTTATTTTCCCAGATGATCTTGTGGGGCCAAGACAAGGAGATGAGGAGTAGCAGGAAGATTCTGTTGCACTAGTTTCTTTTGTATTTTTATTTTATTTTATTTTTTGAGACAATCTTGCTCTGTCGCCCAGGCTAGAGTGCAGTGATATGATCTTGGCTCACTGCAACCTCCACCTCTTAGGTGCCTGGCTTGTTTTTGGCTGAACTTTTAGAATAACCTGGGGAGCGGCTGGGCATGCGGTGGCTCGCGCCTGTAATCCCAACACCTTGGGAGGATAAGGTGGGCAGATCATGAGGTAAAGAGATTCAGACCATCTCTACTAAAAATACAAAAATTAGCTTGATGTGGTGGCACGAGCCTGTAGTCCCAGCTACTCGGGAGGCTGAGGCAGGAGAATTGCTTGAACCCGGGAGGTGGAGGTTCAAGCAATGGAGGTGGAAAGCTGTGACCAAGGACATGCCAGTGGGGGAGGAAGCCTGAGCAGCTGAGCTGCCTTCCTTTCCCTATCCTGCTGACCGCATTGGCAGTTTGTAGCCTGCTCATTAAATTAGGTATGGGGCAAAAAACCAAGATAGGAGTGCAAATTTTGTTACCCCTTCTCTTAGCTACAGCAAGTCTAGAAATTTTGTTCCTCAAATAAAGCTTTATTGTAGTTGTTGAAAAGACGCAGAGCACCAGAAATCTTTAGGATAGTAGACATAAATGCATAAATGATGCATTCCCTCTCCTGTATTCTTTAGCTCAGCATCCATCACTTCAAATATCCTGTCCAGAGCAGTAACAATAGAATTCCTAGGGGAGGGGATGAAAAGCAGTTAGTTCCCACCTGAGAGATTGAGGGGCCAGGCCCGGTCCTTTCTTAACAAGAAACGTGTATTAACTATGCCATATACTTGGCATTTATAATCCACTTGATCCAGTTACTCATTCTGCTCCTCAGGATGTGAGATAACTGTCTCCTAGTTACCCAGTGATTTCTGGAAACCAGTCTTATGACTGGATACCTCTCCCAATTCAGGATCTCTCTCACTCTTGGGTATCTCTCTGTCTCATCAGCCCGTTGATCATGGGAGGACCTATAACTGGGCCCATAGCCTGTGCAGCTACAGCAGCTTCCTCCTCATTCCCTGCTTGTTTTCCTTCTGGGAAGTTCTCCTTAATCACTCCCTTCACTGCCCTCCTGCTGGTAGCCACTATGACCTTTTATAGCCTGTGGTTGCTAGGCTTGGTTGTTATAAAATAACGCTAGTACAAAAAACCTGTGCATTTAAATTCTGTTTGAGTTGAGAAGCTTTGTGCGTATATCTTAACAATGAGGCCAGGCGCGGTGGCTCACACCTGTAATCCCAGCACTTTGGGAGGCTGAGGCAGGCAGATCACGAGGTCAGGAGTTCGAGACCAATCTGGCCAACATAGTGAAACCCCATCTCTACTAAAAATATAAAAAATTAGCTGGGTGTGGTAGTGTGTACCTGTAATCCCAGCTACTTGGGAAGCTGAGGCAGGAGAATTGCGTGAACCCAGGAGGGGGAGGTTGCAGTGAGCTGAGATGGTGCCACTGCACTCTAGTCTGGGCAACAGTGCAAGATTCTGTCTCAAAAACAAACAAAAAACGATGATGATAATGACAACAACAAACCATGAATGGGACCTCTAGCTCTGAGCTACTACTCTGGTCACAAAGCGTGAAAGTGTTGATGGCTGCATGAAAATCCACCCTCTTGAAGGAAAACTGTGAAGCAGACACATACAGTGATGTCTTATTGTGTAACAAGGGACATCATTATAACTAGTTAAGTGCTTAGGAAGGGAAGTCATTTTAAAGGCTTTATACTGAAAAGATAGCATAAATGTCTGGGACTAACCTAGTCCTCCCTTTATCACTTCTAGGAAAAAGGAAAAAGAGTCGATAATCTATAGTGCAGAAGATGTGTTCTGGTGGAAATTAATTTGCCTAGAGCTTTTCAGACTGGAACTGCCTGGTTCCTCTAATAAAAGTGAATGTGATATTTACAATCAGGGCCAGGAAACAGGGAAGGAAACCACTGATTTCTGGGAGCATGGCCTCTACCAGCCTGTAAGATCCTTGAGGATAATCTTAAGTCTGTGAAGTACTCATTTCTGTATCCTGGAAGTGTACCTAGCAGAGAAAGTACTTGATAACTGTTCTTCTGAATATGGCCCTCTAAGTATATGTCTCACATAGGCCAATAATGTCCCTTATTTTACAAAATGCAGTGGAAATCAAAGGTACCAGCAGGTCTGCCTCTGCACGGGGTGAGGAGCCTTAGAGATCTCTTCCTTAACAAGACAGGGACTGGTCCTTTAGGAAAACAAAGTAAATGCTATTTTGAGGATGATTACAAAAACACCTTTGGGAGGTAACTGTCTTTGCAGAATTGCTCACTATGTGCCAGGCACGATTCTTATCTAATTTTACAACATTAAAATAGAGTAGAGTTGGCATTATTTTCTTCATTTATATATGAATAGAATGAGGCTCAGAGAAGTTAAATAAATTGCTCAAAGTCATAGCTTAGTGAGTGCTGATTTTGGGATTTTAAGCTCAGGTGTATGTACCTGCAAAGCTCACCCTCTTCCTAAACAGCACCTGGCACACAGTAGATGTTCAATAAATAAATTCAGAATGACTGAATGAATTTTCCCCTCCTTCATCTTCATCAGCTTACACTGGCCTGTCCCTAGTTCCTCCTCTGACCTGGCCTGATGTTTCAAAGTGACATTGACCTGTCCTTAAAGGGTGTTGTTTGTAGAGAAAGGGTCTTGCTGTGTCACCCAGGCTGGTGATACAGCTGGTGAACTACTGGCGTCAGCCTTGGCCTCCAAAATGTTGGGATTACAGGTGTGAGCCACCATGCCTACCCAATTTAAAAGTTTATTTATTTATTTGACACAGGATCTTTGCTATGTCATCCAAGCTGGAGTGCAATGGTACAGTCATGGCTCACTGCAACCTTCAACCTTAGCCTCCCAAGTAACTAGGACTACAGGCATGAGCCACCATGCCGGGCTAATTTTTATTTATTTATTTATTTTGAGATGGAATCTTGCTCTGTCACCGAGGCTGGAGTGCACTGACACAATCTTGGCTCACTGCAACCTCCGCCTCCGAGGTTGAAGCGCTTCTCCTGCCGCAGCCTCCAGATTAGCTGGGATTATAGGCCTACACCACTATGCCTGGCTAATTTTGTTGTATTTTTAGTACAGACAGGGTTTCACCATGGCCAGGCTGGTCTTGAACTCCTGACTTCAGGTGATCCACCTGCCTCAGCCTCCCAAAGTACTGGGATTACAGACATGAGCCATCGCGCCCGGCTGATTTTTATTTTTTGTAGGGGCTAGGTGTCAATGTGTTTCTCAGGCTGGTCTCAAACTTCTGGGCTCAAGCCATCCTCCCGCTTCAGCCTCTCAAAGTGCTCAAAGTGCTGAGATTACAGGTGTGAGGCACCACTCCCAACCCAATTTCAAGGTATTTGAAGAGGCCGCTGTTAAAATGCACTGCACTTTACTTGGGAGAAAGAGCTCAGCCCTCTTTTGACACCTTAGCACGAATCCCTTCTCTGTCATCCATAACAGTGCAAAAGCTTTAGGATGGGTCCAGGTAAATCTGGATTGGGAGGAAAGGGAGTAGGGGGTAAAGTCTGCAAAGGAATGAGGGAAGGCAGAAGGCCGGAAGAAAGTGTCTGAAGACAGAATGACTCTTGCAAAATTTTCAAAAGGGTCAGGCACTGTTTTCTCCCGGGATGCCCAATACATTGGCAGAATTAACAGAAATCAAGCCCACAGTCCAAGTCCTCACATAGTTTGGGACTTTAAGGTCGGCCATCCCAGACTGAGGGGGCCTGACTTTTGGGCCAAGCCGCCGCCTCTCAGCTTTGGGGCGGCGGCTGCCCCAGCCCAGGAGTGGCCCCGGCCGTTCCCCGCAGGCGGGCAGGAGCTCCGAGGCTATTGGCTGGCGCGCGGGCTGCGGAGGGGCGGGGAGCGCCGCCGAAGGGGACTGTTTGCTCCTACGGGCTGTAGATGGAGCTGTCCGGCCCCGGCGAGGGGGAAGGCGCCTGGAAAACGTTCTTCTTCTCCCTGGCCGGCCCGAGCGGGGAACAGCACTCCCAGGATGCAGTTTGTGTCAACACGGCCGCAGCCTCAGCAGCTGGGCATCCAGGGCCTGGGGCTGGACAGCGGGAGCTGGAGCTGGGCCCAGGCTCTGCCCCCGGAGGAGGTCTGCCACCAGGAGCCGGCGCTGCGCGGGGAAATGGCCGAGGGAATGCCGCCCATGCAGGTGGGAGAGCCCCGCCGGCGCCATGGCTGCGCTGCCGTGGGGGCGGGGCGCGGGCTGGGCCGCGGGACCGGGCCGCACCGTCCTCCGGGAGCCTCGCGGCGCCCTCCCCGCGCCCGCGCCGAGACGTGGCCCGAGGCGGGCGGGGCACGGCCGGGCTGCGCGGCAGGCAGGGCGGAGCGGGCCCGACGCAGGCCCGGAGCGGCAGGCCTGGCCCGCGCGGCGCGGAGCAGCGATCTCCGGGCCCGAGTGCGGAGGCCCCGAGTGCGGTGCGGGGGCGGGGACCGCCCTTTCCGGGACCCGGCGGAGCCCTGACCCAGTGGCGGAGCCCTGACCCAGTCGCCGAGCCGGGGCCCGGGGCTCCCTTAGCGCCCGGCCGGCGGAGGGCTTCGCGGGCAGTGCTTCCGCCCGGCCGCAGGAGTGAATGCCTCGTCCGTGTTTACGCGGTGGCCAGTTTGACGAAGAGATTTTTTTAAATGTTTGACTGCCACCTTTCACCAAGTGTAATGAGTAATTCACTTTCCTCCTGCATCGAGTGTGAGCCAGGAAAGGGGCCTTGGAGAGGTGACTGTGGGGTCTTTCCTGCGGTTGGCAAACTTGGCCTCAGGTTGGAATGGCCTGGGCAGCTTTTAAGACTCCTGAGTCCTCGCCTCTTCAAAGAGCTCAGGTCTCTGCCGGGTGAGAGTAGCACAGGCTCCATCCATGATCTCCGTGAGCAGAACCAATGCTTCAGAATTGGGTATAAAACCAGGGGAGGTGGATCCTCAGAGAGGCCTGAGAGCTTCCCCAGGGAAGAGCCTGGGCTGACCCTGGGCCAGGGCTCCTCAAGAGCCCCTCTGCTCGCCACCGGCCTCTCAGCTGGGTGCTAACGAAGGAGCCAGGAGCTGCTGTGCTGTGTTTGATCATTTTCAGAGTTAGGTCTTCAAACCTGAGAAAACTAAACTGGTCCCAGGACTTTCTTAACTTCAACTGTCGACCCTGTCCCCTTCTGTGGGCTAGGGTGGAGTGGAGCCTCCGTGATGGAGGAATGGATGCTTTTGATGGAAATACCAGCGCCTCTTACTCAGCAGGGCCTGGCGATCCTAGGACCCTGCTCTCCGCTGTGCTCTGCACTCTGCCCTGTCCCAGAGCAGGTCTCAGGAAGTTAGGACTGTGTGGCCATTGCTGCTGCTCTGAGTCAGAGTGGGGCTGGCATGTCCAGATTGCCTCAAGCAGCAGGCCTTCCCTTTTACCAGCCTGAGGGACCTCTTCAGCAGCCATCGGGAGGACAGAAGATGACACCTCCTCCTGTCCCAGGTGTGAAGGAGAGTCGGTTCCCAGCCTATGCAGTCCAGTGAGCCCTGAGTCTGACACCGGGTCCTAGATGACCAGTGAACTGTCTGTCACCACCCTCAACTGGTCCCCCTTAGCCACAGGGCTCAGCTCCCAATTTGCACCTATTAGCCTACCTTTCCGGAGTGAGGGCTCTGTGCTGGAAGATAAAAGGGGGAGTCCCCAGGCCATGGGGTACCCCTTCCTCAGGAAGCAAGGAGGGGTCCTGGAGGAGTTTCTCTCTTAGTTCTCTTGGGCGTGAGGGACATCCCCTTTTCACCTCTAATGAGTGACCCTTTTTAGTGAACCTATTTTCTTTTTTTTTTTTTTTTTTTTTTTTTTT